AAGAAAGAAAACGAAGGGGAAAAGAAAAGGCGTAGAAAAAAAGGAAGGAAGAAAAAGATAGAAAAAGAAAAAAAGAAGAAAGAAGAAAATGGAAAAGAAAAGAAAAAGGAGGAAATAAAAGAAAAGGAATAAGAAAGAAAACGATGATAAAAGAAGGGGAAAAGAAAAGACGTAAAAACAAAAAGTAAGGCGGGAAAAGACAGAAAAAGAAAAAAGAAGAAAAGAAAAAAGAAAAGAAAAAGGAGGAAAAGAAAGAAAAAGAAAAAAAGAAAGAAAAAGGAAGAAAAAGAAAAAGCCAGGGGGAAAAGAAAAGAAGGAGCCAAGGGAAAGAAAAGTAAAAAATAAAAACAGTAGGAGCGAACGTGAAGAAAGGGAAATGGAAATAAAATAAAAAAGATCATATGTTTGTATGTTTGCTTTAATTTCAGGTGAAAATAAAGACAAAAATTGTCCAACATTTGGATATATTTTTTATTTAGTTGGTCCTTCATCAAGCTTTCGGCTCACATGAGCCATCTTCAGAGTGGTGATAAGGACATTTAAACAAAGTTATTTACCATCAAAGATGATATTCTGTTATATTGACATAGAAGATTGCATCTTGAACTTACGAACAACGTTTGCTATTCCGCAACCGTTATCGTCACATAGCAATCTTCTATAGGGAAAACTGTTCTGTTGACTTCAATATTTTATCATAAAAGCCAGAAAGGTAGAGAATAAAGTAAATAATTTAAAACCAGGTAATTTTCTTTCCTTTTCTCCACCCACTGCTTGTAATTTCAGTTAAACAAAAAAGGTTGATTGTTATGAATTAAAGGGATGTTGCATGTAAGCCTATGTTCACCGAAAATAATTCATCAACCCCAAGGCTAGTTGATTTTGAACTCTGTCAAGGCTGGAGAATGAGGTCTGGGCAACACCAGGTCAGTTATGGCACGAAAACTCCATTCGTGGCCTGACCTGACAGCTAACATTTTCTTTATTAGAGTTTTCCCCTCTTTGCACTGATGACGGTACAGGAAGGTAGAGTTCTAACTGTTACAGGATGTTTCTTTAACCGGAGCTCAAACTATGTACCCTGTGAAAACGAAGAGCACACCAGTAAAAATTAATAAAATATATATTCAAAATGGCGTCAAAAATGACGGCAGAGCTAAACTCGTCAGTGATAAAGACAGGCGATAGTTTCAGGTTGCATAAGAATAGCTTAAAAAAAAAAAAAAGAAATCACCCACCCTTTTTTTTTTAAAATCTCTATTTGCGTTTTTTTTTCTTTAAAGTCAGAAATTTGATGCGTCCTGAAAAAGAAAAAATCCGTTTGCTTCGATGCCTATTATCGTACCTTCGCTGACTTAAAGCATTAGCACAAAACAAAGTCGTTATAGACATAGATTTTTTTTGTTGTTGTTTATGTCCCTCCGCTACGTTTCTTTGAAGACCTGTCAAACACTCAGAAACCATTTGATTCGCTCGAAGTCAGAAACCATTCCAGTATAAAAAAAATAAAAATAAAAACAACACACATGCACACAGCTATACCTCATTCTACATATCTACTGACATAGATATATACGCAGGTAAGTATATTGCACTTCAATATTTTATCATAAAAAACAGAAAGACAGAGAATAAAGTAAGTAATTTAAAACCAGGTAATTTTCTTTCCTTTTCTCCACCCACTGCTTGTAATTTCAGATAAACAGAAAAGGTAGATTGTTATGAATTAAAGGGATCTCCCCTTTTACCTTTTCAAGCATCGGCCATTGTGTTGTCACTGGCATCAAGTGTTACGAAAACAACATTAAAAAATCAAGTTGCACTTTAAAGACCAAATACGTCTACGGTTATCGACTAATTCTTATTTAGCACTGTTCAGCTACTGCTTGTTTATTTCCACTGAGGAGAAATACACACTGCCCAGACCAGGGATTGAACTCACAATCACTAAATTCACAAACCAAGGTTTTTATCCACTAATCCATCGAGTCTTAATCCTCTTGTTGCTTCGGTTGAAGCCTTGCTGTCATTCGTTTTTATGTCTTTATTAGTGGCTTCCATATTTAAATTTGTTGACAGTAAATAAGATAAGTATATATATATATATATATATATATATATATATATATAATAATTATTAAGAATATAAATATAAATATATATATGTCTGAATCATCTTCAAGAAGCGAGAGCAAGATCTAAAAGGTCAACCAATCTAACTTATCTCACAATCCTCACACTTGCTCCATATGTGGCCTCCTTTGTAAATCACAAGCGGGTCTTAAATGCCACTTAAGATTAGCGCATAAACTTTCATAACTGAATCAATAAGCTGGCAGATCCTCATACGTCAAAACCGACGGAGAGTTCATTATATATATATATATATATATATATATATATATATATATATATATATATACGTAATAATGTTTTATATATATAAAATATACATACTCATTTCCATACAGCAGAATATATATATATATATATATATATATATATATATATATATATATATATATATATATAAAATAAATACTGAAGAGCCAGGAACAACCTACCAAGGTTACACCTAAACGGAACTTTAGGGTAAGCTGACTCTTTAGGATTCATTTTATTTATCCCAGCTCTACTTAGCGTATTGATCACCCTACGTTTTAGCTTTATGACTTGCTTGGGATATTTTTCTTTGGACTAAAAACTTAAGGCACTGGACGATTTATTTCGCTATGTCCGGATGTTTCTAGTTCTTTCATTTTCCATTTTTTTCCTCGGGTTGGGGTGGACCTGGGAAAAACATCATTTCAGAAGTCGTTCCAAACTCCTCAAAATCTCCCCATCAGAGGCCTTGATACCGGAAGTAGTTTATCGTCATACCCAGAACGTCAAATTACAGACGACCAATATTATTTATGTATTTGTATGACCCTTGTGTTCCTGATCCAACAAAATTTGTGAATAATTATATTGGACACACCACTATATACTTATCAAGTAGACCATAGCTCAGTTAGGACTCATTTAAACATACACGGAACCCGATCAAACTCGGTCTGTAATATGCTTGAGGGGATACGATCATAATAATGATAACAACCACATGTATAAAACGGCAAAAAATAATGTAAGTACTAATAAAAAAAAAGAATGCCAACACTGAATAACATCAACTATGAACAGGGCCACAATGAATGTGTTTAGAAAATAAATTAATCATTACTGTCACTATTGATATAGAAATCGGATATATAGCACATTTGAATAGTTTGTACACACTTTATGTCTGAATGCAAGAAAAACAAATAAAAAGCTTAAATGGAAGAACCTTGTGACTCGTCTATAAAGAAACTGGTATATATATATATATATATATATATATATATATATATATATATATATATATATATATATAAAACCTAAAGAGCCAGGTAAACCTACTTAGGTTTCACCTATACAGATCGTTTTGGAGGTTTTTTTCTTTGGACTCTGAACTTGGATTCTGGACGATTGTTTTCGCCTCAATTTAATGTTCTTAGTTCTTTCTTTTTTATCCCTTATTTTTCCTTGGGTATTGGTTTGTTCATTTACAAGCTAAATCACTTAAGGTTTTTCCAGACGAGCATAATTACTTATATTTATATCATATATATATATATATATATATATATATATATATATATATATATATATATACTGTAAATTAGTCACACTAATCGAAAGATTCATATATATATATCAGAATTTCTTGATTAGTATATTTATATATTTAGCCACCCGCTCCCCACGAGGGTTGTATGTGGCACAAGGCTGAGTTTAAGGTGGGTTATCCGAGCCCGTAGGCTCGGCTAAAAAATGCCCGTAGAACCCGCACAAACGGGATCGGGTTGGTCAACCTCCCCGAACGAGACTCTGCCCTTCGGCTGAGCCTCGTCAGGGTTCCTCTCTGCTCAGAGGCAGAGAGTTCAACCTGCCAGCCGAAAAGATTTCGGTTAGTCTAGATTAGTGTAACTGATTTATACATCGGAATCTATAAAAAAAAAAAAAATTAAACTTCAATTTATTATGGTTAAACTGAAAAATGTTTTACCACACTAATCGAGTGTTATGTCTGCACTAATCGAATTTTGGTATATAAAATTTTTAGCGTATTAATCGAGTTATATATATATATATATATATATATATATATATATATGTATGTATGTATGTATGTATGTGTGTGTGTGTATGCGTATATATATGCATATGTATATATGTGTATTTATTTATATATGCATATGTATATATGTGTATATATATATATATATATATATATATATGCATATGTATATGTGTGTATGTGTAAAAATTCAGATATAAATAAATCATATCTGTAATGACAGCATAAATAAAAGAGTTAAACTTTTCAATACCAATGCGTATTGTTCCTTCAAGAACTTTACCAAGATAAATGTGGAATTTTATTTCGTAAATTTTATTTATACACAGAAGTAACATGGAGAAAAAAAAATTATTTATACACAGAAGTAACATGGAGGAAAAATATCGTTAAGTTTTCAAATTTTGTATTTGTGAACGATCCAAAATATTCTTAAAGCTTTTAGGGAAGGCAAACTATGGAGGCCCCTCATGTGTCTTAAATAACTAATCATAGCGAATGAGGATTTTCAAGAGCAGCAACAACTAAAATGGATAGCACATGCAAGTCCAACAGAAAATAATGACACTACTTCAAAATAAATGGTTAGGAAGGAGACCCCATCAATACTGGAAAGAGCGAGAACAGTTAGGGAACTTGAGAAATATACTTTGCTGAAAAATTGTTTTAAGAGAAAGATTTTTGTTAATATAGCACTGGCTGCTCGGTCAATGAATATTTTCTGATAAGGAAACAGCTCATATTACCATTCCCATGATCGATGAGGAGAACAGATACTACAGTTTGATCCTAGCCCGATAACCAGGGAATGAGGAAGTGTGTAATGTCATGGCTGCTCAGTCAATGAATGTCTCCTTCTAAGAAAAAGGTTAATATTTACCATCAGAGATGAGGCGGACAGATACTCCACTTTGATCCCATACAGACTGCCACAGAGAGCGTTAAGCACTGGCTGCCCAAACAATGAATGCCGAATGTTTCCTTATATTAGTATTAGAGATGAAGAGAACAGGTATTACACTTTGATCAGAGCCGGATGACCAAGGAGTGAAGGAAAGCATAAAGCACTGCCTGCACATGTCGAATATTTCCTTATAAGGAAACGGTTAATATTTACCATCAGAGGTGAGGCTACATTTTGATCCTAGCCCGATGGTCAGGCGAGCTTAAAGTCCTAGCTGTTCGGCCAATGAATGCCAGACTACCAGGGAGAGCGTAAAGCACTGGCTGCTCGGTCAA